TTAACCTCTGATCGGTCGTTTTGGGCGGTCTGTTTTCCATAATTTCCATTCGTACAGTTTTGGTCAGGGAAAGTACTGGATAAACAATGACTCGCGAGATGGGCATGGTGGTCGATAGGGATTGTGTGAGGCAAAAATACCTCCCTAGGATGGTGCTGAAGAACAGGAACATTTCGCTAAGATGGAGCTGGAGAACAGGAACCCTTACCTGGGTTGGTGTTGATGGACGAGAACAGGTCAGTGGGGTGGTGCTAGCGGACAAAAGTATGTTATTGGAATGCCCCTAGAACAGGATAACACATCGCTGGGATAGTATTGGAAAACCAGGACACGGCATTGGGTTGGCTTGAGGGGTGGGAATATATACATAACTGTGGAGGGGGTAGATTCGGAGTAGTACCTCACTCAGTTTTATTTTTTTACAAAATATAGGAGTTTTAGCACAACGTAGTTCCAATCTGCCAACGATCAGGATCAATATTTGAGGGAAATTAAAATCAATTGACCAACGCACGGGCTGCCCGTGCGAAGATGCGTTTTTTGCACAGTTCCTTGCAGTTTTCGTCGCTACCGGCATCGGTTTTTTCGGCAAATGCTTCTAGCTAAACAAATTAAGACAGGCCGCCGGAACTGTCAGAAAACACCCCCTTAAAATTTCAGTTTTCTAGCTTCCCTGGCTCCTGAGTTAGCAACTTGCTGAAAAAAAACTTTCACAGGCCCGTGCGTGTTTACCACGCATACCCAAGAGTTGGGTTTGAGCTGAATGAAACTTAGGTGGATGGGGTATATCCTCTTAAAATTATAGTCCTTTAACTTTTCAGGTACTCGAGTTATCAACTTACTCAAAAAAAATTTTGGCGGGACCATACGCGAGTACCACGCTTACCCGGGGGCTCTGTTTGAGCTCACTAATACCCACTTGGACGGGGAATATCCTCCTAAGATTTCAGCGTTCTAGCTTCTCAGATTCCCAAGTTATGAACTTACTCGAAAAAAATTTTGGCGGGCCCGTACGTGAGTACCACGCGGGTAATGACGCTCTTTTGGGGATTGGGACCTACGTGTATGTAGATTAAGTTCCCAAAGTTTCAGCCCTGTAGCTTTTGTAGGTCTTGAGATGAAAAACCGTGACAGACGCACACACAGACACACAAATACACAGAGACAACCCCTCACCAGTATGCATTTTTGCACTGCATAGCTGCAAAAAACGCATAAAAAGTTCTAAAAATTACGATGGGAGGCAGGTCAAATTAGGCAGTCGTCGTGAATCGCCGTTAGAAGGTCAGATTTTGCAAGTCCTTTTATTTGCAACATCTTTCAGGTAATATGGCGTACCGTACTCGTCAGAGTGATCCCAGCGACACATCCAGTGATGAAGAAGGCCCATCCATCTGCAAATCACAGAGAATGGATGAGCCGATGGAGGGCCAACGGCTTGGCAGGTGGCACTTTCATTCGGATTGTGCTTTTAACATATTCTCAAAAATCTAGCTTAGAAAGCGCTGATGAAGAGGAAGAGAGAGAAGGTAACATCAAGAATACCAAGACCGCTTTGGGCTATCAGTGTGGGTTATCCCCTGTTAGTGATGTTACTAGGATGCTTCAGACGCTAAGCGCAGCTGTGCCAGGTCTTTCGTTCCTGAGGTGCATTGCCTCCAGTTAGTACCCACAGCCTGTTCGATGCATGTGCGCCACCTGTTTCGGGGCAGCCCAAACTTCTCGCTTATTTTCCCATGGGGTACCATCTGGCTTGGAAACTTTGGTGAGGATGATAAGAGGTAATAGGTGAACAAAATGAATTGTTGAGAGACATTCATGCTGTTACAAATGAACACGGGAAAGGCTGGCAGCGAAAAACCCGTCTTATGATGCTGTAGATATG